ATAAAAGCCTGATTAATGTATGAAATTAAGACAAACATTTGGGGGGAAGAAAACCAAATTAAAGATAGGCCCATTATGGCATGCTTTTTTTGCAATCCTTTCTTGTGTCTAGCGCACAGAATCATTTTACTTAAGCTTTAATATTTAATTGAAAAAACAAACATACAGCTGATTGTGCCAGATTTTCCAACTGCTATGCTCATTTGCATAGTGGAGATGAGAGGCAGCACACATACCATCTCACCAGACAGTGGGCTCGAGGAGGAAAGTCATTGTTCATGCACAGCAAGTCCTGCATTGGCAGAGGAAGTGCATCTGTGACAAAAATTAATACATAATCAATGTATCATCACATCCATCCAGCTCACTTACAACTGCCTTGTATTAGCATTGTGTGAATGCCAAGCAAGCTAAAAGCAGAAATGTCAAATCACACTCATCAGACCCCAGAAAAGCCCACACAGATGCAGATCAGCACACTGTGGACTCTACTTTCTGACACTGTCATTTGCCATTATCCTTACAACTATGGAAGGGAACTATCAGGTACCTTCTCCCAGCTCTTCTTTCCCATCTTTGTCACTGGGTTCTTGGACAAGATAATGATGGGTAACTGAGAATCTGAAGTCTGCAAATGAAATTTCATCTGATTTCTCTTCCCATGTTCCTGTGGTAAATATACCCTGCATATAAAAAAAGAAGATATTGTCTCATAAATTTAGGTTAACGTTCATTAGTCTTTAAAAGTATATTGCCTATATGATTAATAATGTTTATTTATGGTTTTCTACTGCCTAATGGCTCAGCATGATTTCATTTCAAAAAGCAATTCTCAAAGTTCTTCATTATAAAGGTAGCTGTCTGTTAAAATATCCATGTTGCCAATAATCATGTTCATTCCAAAAATCAAATACCATCTTGCAGTCTTGAGAACTATATGGCAATAAAGATTTGCATCCTCCCATATGCATCTGCACATATGAAGATAGACACCCTCAACTTTGCCCAGAAAGAAGTTTCCCACATGGGATTTTATTTATATCTAAACCATTCTATGCAAATATTACCTTGATATTTACTTTCACCAACAAATGATTATTTTTATCTATAACTTACAAAACTTCTGTATGGATAATTCATTTTTTAACAAAAATATAGCATGGGAATGTTTAAGAAAATCAGCATCACTGCCCCTACTAAAACAATGCAACTTGAACAATCCTTTTATTTTAAAGGATGTTAAGAAGAGAAATCTGGTTAGAAAAGAAGACATGCAAGAATACAGGGACAGCTAAGGTGCATTAGATAACATAAGTTTTATTCAAAATACTCCGTACCTGACTAGAATGAAAAGCAATAAAATTCCTCTGGAAACACAGCAGCCATTCCATACAAACCAGCTGAGTTTATCTGCATTACTATGCAGAAGAGCTCAGCAATTTCCTCTGCATTTCACAGGACCGAGAAATCATCACAAAGGCTCTAATTAGACTCCAAAATAAAATCTCTCCCATCTATGAAACACACTGAGTCATGAGTAGCACTGTGCAAACCTCAGCCATAAGTACATGAGGTGTGACAAAGGCACAAGGCAGGACAAAAAGATTCTTAAAGTATTTAGAGTAATTTCCAGATTCAAACTGAGAATTAAAAATAAAAAAAATTTAAAAATCACTAAGCCCTACATGAAGATCCACCTTTGTCAGGGAAACAGCCTGTTTGGTAGATGACCCATTAATGAATTGTTTATCAAATTGACACTTCTACAAGTGAAATTCCCCAATAAAGTCATTATCTGCCACACCTAAGAAAAGAGCAACAGATGAAATACATGCATGCATTATCGTATTACTAGTTAGCAATTAAATTTCTACAGGAAAATTCAGAAGCAGCAACTGACCTTCTCTAGAGGTTTGCCTGAAGAAATCCCAATAAGTTTCCAGTCATTCAATACTTCTTCTATTTTTGAAATAAATCTATTAAGGAAAAGAAAACGCATTAATATTTGATGAACACTAAACCTGTATTATAGTTCAGCCACCGAAAAGCAGGCAGTATGTTATTCTACTATGGAATTCCTTAGAAAAGCGCAAAAAACAAACAAACCCCACAACAAGTATCACAATAAAGCCAGAACAATTGCTTACTTGTACACATAACAGTCTTCCTAAGCTAAAATAGTTACTTTTAGCAACTGCTATGACCCTCTTTTGACTGCAGCACATAGCATTTAACTCCTGTTTCATTGTTCACAAACGAATAAGCATTTGTGACAAAATTATACACTAAATTCAGATTTAGAGCGGAGCACTCGAAATCTCGTCTCCTGTCACTGGAAACACTGGAACACTGTCACTGGAAAAAGCATTTAACAAATAATACATTCACAATGCAAGAGAGTTCTTCACCTTAAATTTCTTTCGGCATTGTTCTGCTAACTTTTAAAGGCTTCAGCTACGAGACGACTTTCTTAACAATCAGACAGCTACTTAGAAAACGCATAAGCCTTCTGAATGGGTATTCTAATCCCTTGCAAACAGGGATTAAACCGGACCTTTCATTAAGTTCAGAAACAGCTCGACTAGAGTGTCTCAAGCCGCTCCTCGGCCACGGCCTGAGCCTGTTCTGTTTCCCGGAACAGCGGGGAAAAGGCTCCGGGTGCGGCTCCGCGTGCTCCCGGCCGGAGTTGCGGCTGTCCCGGGCAGGAGCGGCCGGGCCGGGCTCGGCGCAGCCCCCGCCTCACCCCGCGCCGAGTGAGGGGCGCGGCAGCACCTACCTCTCCCACTCGGAGGCGGTGGTGAAGTCCGTGATCTCGAACACCTCCGACTCGGGCTGCAGGGAGAGAGCGGGAGAGGCGGTGAGCGGAGAGAGCAGGGGGAGAGAGGGGGAGAGAGGGGGAGAGTCGGGGAGCAGGGAGAGAGAGGGACGAGCCTGGCACAACTCACTTCACTGTCCGCCGCCATCTTGCGCCGCTGCCAGGCCCCCCCAGCGGCGGAGGCTGCCGGGAACGTGGTGGAGGGCGGTGCCTCCTCAGAGCCTGCACCTCCCTCACAGCCCGTCCATCCTGGGCTCCCTCACAGCCGGCTTCGCTCTCACAGCCCGTCCATCCTGGGCTCCCTCAGAACCTGCTTTTCCTCACAACGCGTCCCTCCTGGGCTCCCTCACAGTCAACCACAGCCCGGCTCCTGCCTCCCCGGGCTCCCCGCCCCGCCTCTCTCCTTCCCGGCTGGCTGCAGCCCCTCACACCGGCGCGAATCTCCCACAGATTCTCCGGCTTCATCAGCGAGAGTCGAGAATGGCTCCCTCAGATGTGCACAGCCCTTGTCAGCCAGCCGGGGGCTGAGGTGTCCCCCAGGACTGGTGTCCCTGTCCCGGCCTAATCCAAAGCCTTCCCCTTCTCTTGTGTCACCCAGGGGACGGCGACAAATCTTTCTGGCATCCAGCAAAGCAGCTCCCTTAAACACCCTTTTAACTCAGCTTGAGCCTAGTATATCTCTTTTATTCTGTCTTGTCTGTTTATTCTGTCTAAGTCTGTTACTTAATGAAGAAGAGGAAATATCCTTAAAATTTGCAGCTAGAAAGGAGATTGCAATTACTCGTGAGAGGACTGAGTGCGAAGTAAAAATGACGTGGAAACATAGCAGGTACTAAAACATAAACAGAAGTAAACGTAAGATAAAAATTGTTTGTGTAGATGGTTTGAGAGAACTTGTGATTGGGGCCTAAAGTGCTGCCATTGAGCCCGGCTGTGTGTGTTTTCATAGGTCGCTGCTGCTCTTTGAATTAAACTGCTGCCAGCCGAATTCCCCGGGGTGAGGGGGTTACCGGGGCGACACGGTGTAAACTCAACAGCCCGGCCGAGCTGGAGCGCCTCAGAGCAGCCTGCCTCGGCAATGGCTCCTGTGTGCTCCGCACCCCGCCAAACAGCCGAAAATAAAACCAAAGTGTGGAGAATTGCCGTCGAATTCCTCCCTGGCCAGCTAAGGAAGGCAGCTGCGAGCTAAAAATGCTCTGTAATTTCCCTTTGGGTTGCTGTGCCTCTTTCACTTTTCGCTGCTGAAGAAGCAGGTAAGGTTTTTAAGATTCTGCCTTTTACAGAACGTTCTCAGTTATTATTTTGAAGGGGTTTTTTGTGTCCAAAAAAATTTGGGAAGCTCGTAGAAGTTCACCATCTGACTCTTAACAGGCAAACATAATGGGATTGAGCATTGTAATGGATTATCTGGCCTTTACTGTGAGACAACAAGAGTGCTGGCTTCTATAGCTACCTCTATAACTAATTTTACTGTCTTTGATTTGTATTCTTGTCACTTGAAAAACTGAAGTTCTTTATGTTTTTCAGGAAGACTCTCAACTCCATCAAAACTATTAACTGGGATTAATTTTCTTCTAAGTATTAGCTTTCTAGAATTTCAAAACTCCCAATCCTTTTACTTAACCCTCTCATGTTTCTTTTCTACGAGTCTGCACTTTGGGATTGTTATGTGTTGTTTACACTACTGTCATCTTATGACATTGTTAGAGTTGGAGTTTAATCTTGGAAAAGAGGGTTTTAGAATGATGAACAGCTCCCAGCACACTCACCACAGCCAAGAACAGTGATGACTTATCAGGGTCAGTATTACCCACACACAGCTGTATTGGCCAAGAGGGTGACAGCCAGCTCCTTTCCCACAGTTATTGCTGATTAGTCATAGGAAAGGTACATTACAATCTTCTATTTAAGAGTAAAGCCCTTTCAAATCAAATTCAACATGGCATATGTTGCGGTTTTAGCTCTAAAAACTTGCTGAACTCTTTGGTTCTGTGCATTCACAGGAAAGGGATTAGATGCTAAATTACAATACTTGGAATAATTTCAAGTACTTTTAAAATGTTTTGGTCTTATTTTGTCCCTTAAATAATGAAATATAAAGTATGTTATATATGCATTATATATGCATTTGTATATGCATATATAATACATATACATTTGTATATGTGTATACACATATATGTGAATTGGAAATCAATTAACAGTTTTCAGGTTTCTGGGCATTAATACATTTAAGGACAGTGTGTCTGACAACCAGCAAAATAAGAGGAAAAGCAAAAAAGGTAGTCTAACCCAAAGCTTATGTGTTTAAAGTGTAAAATGTAGATCTGAAGCTGGAAAACTACAGTAACAACTTGAAATCTGGATATTTGGCAAAACTTAGCAACCATAAAAAAAATACTAAATCAAACTCGGAGTTACTTTCCACCTTTTTAAAGGCCTGAGATTTGGGGTTTTTTTCATATTTTTAAGTGTTCTACTTCTTAAAATTTCTATCAATATTTGTCTTCTATTTCTGTTCTCCTGAGAACAGTTCAGCTGTAAGTGGCTTTTTAAGATGTTTTTTGCTTTTATAATACATTGAATTAATAAACTTACCAAAAAATAAAAAGAATTCAAAGCTATGCATTCTCATTTCAATAAATTACGAAAATTAGTCAAATGTAACTTGCTCGTTTCTTTTCCTGATAGTTACTCTCTGTACTTCTTTATAATAATATTTTAATGCCCCAAAATAACTGCATTTGCCATGTATTAAACTGTAGAATTAAACTGCCTTTATGCAAATATTGATGTATTACTGCAGGTTGTGGAAATGTTGTTGCTTTTCAGAATGCAGACAGTATAATGGAAGAAATGCATCAGTCAGACAAAGCTCTAGGAAAAAACAGGTAAGAAGTATCAGTATTTAATTGGCTCTTGGGTATGCACAAATGGGAACAAAGAAGGTAGCAGTCTGAATAAGAAAATTATTTCCTAGACATTATATACAGCTCTATATGTTGTGTAGTGTTTATCTCTTCCCACTGCCAATTATTGGTCACTGCTGGAGGGAGGATATTGCATTAGGTGAACAAATTATTTGGTACAATAAAAAACATGGTATGTGGTTATTTGACTTACAAACACAGACCATTATCTTGCATCCAGCTTTAAGATTAGCTTAGACTGTACTTTTGTACCTCTTTTCAGACACAGTATTTATCTTTTTCCACATTTTTCATTCTTCAGAAAACAGGTGGCAGAAAACTGAGGCTTGTCCACACAGCCTCTGTTTTTTCAGGCAGGCCATAGCACATTTTGTAGGTAACAAAGGCACATCTGGTCTTCAGAACTCTTCTGACACACTCTCGTGATGATTCATAAAAACCACACACTGGAAGCAATCAATTTTTGTCAAGAAGGGGAAGGTGAACAATATGTTTTTACATTTCTCTTGTTGCTTGGTTAACATTGTTTGTCATTAATTCTCACTCTTAGTCAATCTCTGCATTGCAGTCTGCTATTTCCAGGAAGAGTCAAAACATCACAGATAATAAAGAAAATATACTTTGGCATTCTGGGATCTCACAAAATTCTTGGTCACGTTATTCGTCAGCCATATGATTATTTGAACTGGCTCCTTCCACTTATTTTTGCTCTGTATTTTGGTTGTTTTTGTTTTGCCTTTTAGCCAAATCACACCAACATCCAGAACACGGGCAGACCAACAAGGGGCGTGTTTTCCAAGTAAGAGTCAGATAGCATTACCCGGGAGACATCACACTGCCTTACCTTTCTTCTCAAACAAAGAGAACAGGGGATGTGGCTTTGACTTCAGCTTTCTCCTTCAGAACTCATGCCCAGAATCTAACATTTCAACATCATTTTTGGATTTAGATACTTTCCAGATAATAAAAGCACAAATACAACGAAGTAAGTTCAATTTTAAAAGTCACAACTTTTATATAAAATTATATATTGGTTATTGTATTACCTTTATGTCTTTTGCTGTCTTCAGAAAGATTTCAGCATTGTAAACCCTCTTCTTTCATTATAAGCTTGTGTGTGTTTGCAGAATGAAGGAGATAAAGAGAAGCAATGACAAACTTCACCATTTCTGGTACTCTGTGTAGTGAAACTGAGCCACAAATGTGGAGTGTAATTCTCTGTATCTGGAGTACCTGGACATCTTTCTCCTTCATACTGGCAATATTAATTAGCTACATACTGTAGTTAGCAAACATCTACAATTGAGCAGTATGTCTTTAAATTATTAGTGTCAAAATATTTTAAAATGATAGTATTTTATTATTTTCTGTGGAGTATGGAATTGTGAAGTTCAGTATCACAATTAAATTTCAACCTACAACTTTTTTCTGCACTGCAGATTTATAACACAGTCCTGCAACCAGAGACACATCCTTGACCCCCTGAACACTACAATTTGAAATTAATTTATAAATGTGAATTGTAGTCTGTTTATGAACATCAAATTCATATTTCATTTTTTTTATTTTTAAGGGTTAAATGTAACAATGATAAAAACCAGGAACAAGAAATCTGAGGTAAGGGGATATTATCTATAAAATGATCACTGGCAAAAGTATTATATCCTTTCAAAATCTTAAAAATAGAAATACAGAAGTAGTGTAGGTAGTTTGCTTAGTCTCGGGTGGTTTGGTTTTTTTGGGTTTTTTTTAAGAATGTGAAATATTTTTGCATATATTATATATATGTGTGTCAACAAATCTTGAGGTCTATATCAACAAATCAGTAAGATGTTGTATCAGGGACTTCTGGACATAAAAGATTGAAAGTTCAAAAATATATAAAACTTTTAGAAACATGGAAATTAATTAAAATATGCATCCTATTTGTTAAATTAGATGTCTAGTTTTGCCAAAAACTCTAACACTTCTTTTAAATGGTAATTTAAAATTGAAGCTGAATTCTAAAATGGTCTTGATATTAGATGATTGGTGACATTTATTGTGTTAGCAAATAAAAAATAGTCTTTTAGAATTAAACATACTTGACATGAGATTTTGTGGAAAGTATAAATAAGATTAGACAAAACTTTTGTACCTAGAAGCAGGCTCACAATTTTACATCTCAATACTTCGCACCACTTTAAATATACTGTATTTAGAAAAAAAGAGAATTTGGCCCTTAATTAATAACCTTTTGTAGAAAAGAATCAACTCTTTGAATCAAATGTAAACTTCAGTGGGCCCATCACAGAATACAGCTGATCACAGGAAAAATGTGAAGAGAAGTATAGAAGTAGGAGCAAGAGTTCTGACACAGGATTATGAAAAGGGTAATGGGAAAAAACCATTTCAAATGGAGGGAAGTATTTAAGAAAAATAATTTAGCTGACTTCAGTGTGATTTAATACAGCTTTATTTCATGTCTCGGGCTCTGGTGGTTTCTAGAAGTGTATCCTTTGGGATAAACTGAGCATTCATATTAATGCCATGCAGGCTGGACAAAGCCTTCAGAACTGTGAATTTCAAACCAACACATTGCTTTTCCCAGCATATTCAAACCTCAGTTTGCCCTTGGAATGCAAACAGAAATTTTCTGCAGATTGCAAACTGATGTTGAATATAGACATGCAAATGAGCACTCACACAGAGTGTGATGACACAGAGCAGATGACTGTGTGATTATTTCTATTGCATTCATCTGCATAAAAATATTCATTTCCTATAAAATAAAGGACAGAAGTGCTATTTTCAGAAAATCTTTCTCACTGTTCATCTGAATAGTCCAAACAAAGTATTCAGTTTCTCTGATCTGTACTCCTTCAAATGTACATGGTACTTTGATAGGGAGAAGGGAGGAATAGCAAAACACATCCCTGACCCAACAGACTCCTGTGGCAGCTGCCTCTGGTTTTACCCATTTCACTTCACTGCAAATCGAGTGCAGACTGTGCTGTCTTCCAGGGTACCTAAAACTGTGAGCTAAATCTGTAGCCACTTAACATGGTTTATGGATCTATATGTTCAAATTTAATATAATGTATCTTAAAGTCTATAAATAATTTGTTAGAATTGTTTCCTCCAGAGATGCAATAGCATTCTGTTATAATGGTCTGGTTTTCCTTTTGAAAAATTTCTAACATGAGCTCTAGTTCCTTTGGGAATATAATTAATGGTGTCAGCACACGTTGGAAGGTTACATAAAAAGACTTTAAATATCAGCATTTGAGTGGTGCTCTCATTCAGGGAGAGTGCACAGCAAGAGATGAACTCTGGCACATGAAGCCACTGCCCAGCCTTTGAATTCCTGTAGCAAACATGTGAAGTGCCACAAGTGACAGAGTTAATACCTGACAAGAGGATTTGTACATGTGGACAAAACTTACTGTTTTTAAATCATGGAGAATGACTTGTGCCTTAAAGTAAAAGATCCTGCTTTCTGTACTAAGAAATACTTAGAAATAGTTTTGGATCTGAGAAAATTAATGCAATTAATGTGAGAAAAATAATGTATTTTCTCAGGAGTCTGATATTATACTTCATAATAGGTTTAATGTGGGAATATATAAAAGAATAATAATTTTATATTTTTTTCTTTAAGACTACTTGGTTCTTAGTGATCAGTTTTTACCTGTGTCTGTGGTGTAGCACATTATAAATGTTTTTTTATGGAAATTACAGTTTCATTTGCCACCACTGACATGTCCGCTTCTAAGAACAATTCATCTTCCTCTTCTAAAGGATGATATTGTCAATGAAAGCAGAAACATCAAATATATTTTAAATATTATTAATTCTATTCCTCGGCCTATAAAACCAGTTACTAAATTTTATCAATATCAGTTAGACAACTTATTAAACGGGCACGGTGAAAAGTCATCAGAATTGATCATGGCCACAATTTCTGATAAGTTCACTCCTGTGAAGGACCTGTACTACTTCAGCATTAATAACTGTGATAAGTACCCCAACAACAAGAAGGAAGAAATCCAAAGCCATTTAAAATGGAGGGAAGCTGATGTAACAATCCACACTGAGAAGAAGAACCAGGTGAAGTTCCAGTGTTCAGTGGTTTGTGAGAACATTGATGATCTGAACCAAGCCAGGTTCTGGCATGAGAGTCATCCCTACTTGAGCTCAAGCAATGCTCTAGTGAGCTGTGGCATGTTTACAGCCCAGACAATATTTACAGTGTCCAGCAACAGCCATGCCTCAAGAACTGGCAATAAGCAAAACAGAGCAGAGAATTGCTGTAACACTGGTCTGGAAGAAGAAAATGCTACAGAGATGATTCTGGATCATAAACCACAGGACGATGCTGAGAGTGCCAACTTTGTGCTTTACAATCAAGATTTAGATTCTTCCTGTAGAAATGAAGTGATAGAGGCCTACCAAGCCTTAGAAGATAATTCTGTAGTTGCAGTAATTCCTAGAGTAGAGGTACAAGATCCTTCTGGAAAACCGTCAGAAAATCAAGCCTGTCTCTCTGAATCTGAAATAGATAAAGAAGCAATGTCAGGAGCAACTTCAGAGGACCAAAGGGAGCTTGTAGCTGTTGCTCATGTTACCCTCTCTGAACAAGAGCTAGCCAGAGAACCACACATTGCTGAACAACCTGCCACAAAAAAGGGTGTTGTCTGTACCTTGCCTCCTCATGTTACTCAGAGCCTCAATGTTCTTGCTCACAAAGAAAATGACAAAAATAAAATGAAGATGAATAGAAATAAATATTCATCAAAATCTAAAATTAATAACAAGATAAAAGTATCTGAAGAAATAATTGCTTCTGATGAAGTTACCACAAAATCAAATGCCAAGAGTCAGATTTTTCCGTCTTTGGAACTGACAAAAGTGAAATCTGAGACTTCCATGAAGTGTCAGAAAAAAAACACTCAGGGAGACAAAGGCCATGTTGCTCAGAGTGCTCAGAAAATTAAAAAGCAAAGTTGCTCCTGCAGTTGCAAAAATTCAGCTATCTTAAAGAAACATGTTACTCCACTTTGTCTACCACGTGCATCCTCTGCTTCAGAGTTTGTAGACCTGAAATACACTGACATGTTCAAAATAATAAATTCAGATGACCAAGGCCCAGGTATTTATGAAATGTTTGGAACTCCTGTCTATTCCCGCATGCGAGACCCTGATCAGCATGAGGACAGGTTTTATAAAAGTGTTTATTCTGCTCCACCAGGGAGCTACACCTGCAGATCTACCTGCAGTAAAGAGGGAGAAAAAAGCGGAGTCAGACACAGAAAAAAGAAAACACATTCCAAGCCAAAGAAAACCATACCTGGTGCTAAACAAAAGCAGAAAGATTTAATCACAAAGGACAGAAGGACCAAGCTGAGTGACAGCAACACAGACCAAGATAATGCAACAACTTCTGACTTGGATTTTCAAACACACACCTCAAGTAGCACAACATTGTTTCATGGAGATGAGGATCATGAGCTCACATTTTTAGAAAAGCTTTCACAGTCAACTAAGCAAAATGAAATGTTTACAAATTCAAACCTATCAACTATTAAAGAAGTTTCTTTGGAGCAGTTGTTAGACAGCCAGGATAATTCCAGCCATCAGAGAGCTGCTGCCTGCAGCCAGGATCTCCAGTTCAGTGATAAAGACTGCAGAGAATGTGTTGCTCCAAGTGGCAGGCTGGTAACAGCAGAGCAGAACTTCTGTGTGCTCCAGTGCAGGTGGGATATGGATGGTGGCAAAGGCCTGCAATCACACAAAGACTCCAAGTCTGTCAAGAAATGTGAATTGCCCTTTTCAGATAGACTGGAATGTCAGTCCCCTACAGAAATATTAGATCACAGTTGGGCAAGCACACCTCAAAACAGTGGTTTGGCAAATGAATTGACTCAACCTTCAGTGATTTGGACAAGAAATGCCAAAAGCCTCAGTTTCCAGGCAAGTCAAAATATTTCTTCCTGGTCAGATACTAAGGATGTGACTGATGAGTTGCTTTGTTGTCTGGCCAAAGAATTGCTAATGCTTGAAGAAAAAGACACCAACTCTTCAAGAACAAAAAATACATGTTCTAAAATAGAAAACACACAGAGTGAAGAAGAGAGAAGTATGATGAATGGAGATGGAGCAATAATCAATAGTGCTCTAGAGAAGGTAAAAGTAATTTCTTCTTGTAACTTGCTAAATAATTTGAGTGATATTTTGTTGTGGCATGATAGCTACAATATTTCACACAAGTTTGGATGAAAAATGGGAAATGTGTGCTCATTAAAGAGATTTATCAAGTTGTTTTTCCTGGGGCCAGCTTTCCGTTAATTCTTCCAGTGCTCTGTTGAATACATCTGTGTTAGAGGCTACATGTCAGGACACAAGCCAGAAAGTACTAGGGCATGACAGGAATAGCTGCCAAAGCTTATATAAATTGAGAAATTGTAGTGAATAGAGAGAGTAGGCAGTTTTCATTAAAGAGCTTGTATTAAAAGGTTTTGGGCAAGGCAAGAGGTGGGGATCTGGACAGCTAAGGAATATGAAAAGACACTACAAATAGTCTTGTATATCCATAAGGGCAATAACCTTGAATCTCTGAGTGCAACCAGATACTTTTATAGGTATGAACCACAAGTACTGGTTTATCAGACAGACTTATCCTGTTTAATTAATGCTTAGTCAAAACCTGGAACTCAGAAGTCTCAGATTTTGTCCCCCAAGTCAGCTGTGTGCCTTCACCTACTAAGGTGCTTCTCCTTGGTCCTGTTAGCTCTTTGTCTATTTAAATTACAAATTTATAAGGAAATGCCTTTCACTACATATTGATACACTCCCTTGTGCTTCTACAGACACAGGTGCCAATTATAGCTCTGTTCTCACTTCTCCCAGGGAGATCCATGGCTAGATGGGATAATTATTTCCCATCCTTCAGAGGCAGTCTCTTCTTCCTGTTATTTTCATCAAGTCATGTCCTGTTATTTTCATCAGAATTGTGTTACATGTGTTACTTAGAGCATGATGGTAGCCATATTCACCCTTCGCCTTGGTAAACTATACCTATAAGAACAAAAAACAGAGTGTATCCTGCTCTTTTCAGTGCTTTTCTGTTTGGTGTCAATGGAAGATGTCATGCTGTAACCTTCTGGTTATATATACTTGAAAATATTTATACAGTCTTACCTAATATAGCAATTCTATCATTGACCTGAGCTATTTATATATATAAAAATCTACAAAGCAAAGTCATGCCAGGAAAAATTACTCCTTATGAAAAAAGGGGGGACCAAATGAAGCCTGTCTTTTCCTCTCTGCCTTCTCCCCACACTGACCATCATCTTTTAAGCAGAGTTACAGTAAAGCCTTTTTGGCTTCAAATGAAGAAAATGGCCTTCTAAACTTTGACGAATCTACTAAATTACCAGGAAGCAATTTAGCTACCAAAGATCCTATCATGTGGACAAGAGGAGAAGTCCTTGGAAAGGGAGCCTATGGCACAGTAAGTTATGTTGAGATGTGTTGGTTGTTGTTGAGCTACACTTTATCTCAAAAATAGCTGTTGTTCTATTCAACAAATGGTTAAATATTTTGGATTATACAGTGACATGTGAAACATGACAAACACAAAGATTCTATTTAAAGTAAGTAAATACTCAAGTTTTATCTTGTGTCTTGCTTTGATAAGTGCTGATTTCACTGTAGGTGTACTGCGGTCTGACAAGCCAGGGACAATTAATAGCTGTAAAACAGGTGGTTCTGGATACATCAGATCAACTCACTACAGAAAAGGAGTATCAGAAGTTCCATGAAGAAGTTGATCTTTTGAAGACACTGAAGCATGTAAATATTGTAACTTATTTAGGAACTTGCCTGGAAGACAACATTTTAAGCATATTCATGGAGTTTGTTCCTGGTGGATCCATTTCCAGTATTCTGAATCGCTTCGGTCCATTGCCAGAAGTCGTCCTGTGTAAATACACCAAGCAAATTCTACACGGGGTTGCATATTTACATGACAACTGTGTGGTGCACAGAGACATCAAAGGCAATAACGTGATGCTCATGCCCAACGGGGTGATAAAGCTGATTGACTTTGGCTGTGCCAGGCGCCTGGCCTGGGCCAGCCTCAGCGGCACCCGCAGCGAGCTGCTCCGATCCGTGCACGGCACTCCCTACTGGATGGCTCCAGAGGTCATAAATGAGTCTGGCTATGGCAGGAAATCTGACATCTGGAGCGTTGGCTGCACTGTGTTCGAGATGGCAACAGGCAAACCCCCTCTGGCTTCCATGGACAGGGTGGCAGCCATGTTCTACATCGGGGCCCACAGGGGGCTGATGCCGGCCCTGCCCGATCGCTTCTCCAGCGCTGCCGTGGAGTTTGTGCATGCCTGCTTAACCAGGTAGGGAGGCCTTCAACTGCAGAATGAATGGGAAAATGCAGGTGGTTTGTATTCTGGAGATGGCTCATGGGAGCTTAGGTTATGGTACACATGACTTTATTGTAGATCCATAGGCTTTCCAGCATTTCAGGAAAGCCTTTAGGTAAAAGCATATATAAAAGAGCTTTACTCTTTATAATGGTATTAAAAAGCCCTCACAGATTCTCTTTTTATAGGCCTTATAATTTACTTTCACTGTAGTTTTCATGAAGGGACATGGCACTGTTGAGTTTTGGACAAAATATTTGATAAATTTCTTTGCTGTGCTTTGCTGTTCCAGCATTGTTTGAGTTTGGTCTATGCCAGACAAGTTGTTTTAAGGACAGTATTCTAAATGGAGGAGCTTTCACTTAATTCTTGTCTTCTGCAGTGGAAAAATCTATTATCACTGCCAGTCCAGGAAACACATACTTATTTGAAACATAATACTTACTCGAAACATAAAGTTCTCTCTGTAAAACCCAAAACCACTATAGCATTCACACATTATAAGAATTATTTTTGTGATGTTTTGTTTTAAACAAAGCCATGGGCTTCTTAAAATGCATGATATTGATTAGAGATGATAGGACAACCTGATTGATAGAGGCTCCAACAGATAATTATCACATTTCTTAAATACATTTTTAGTGCACCTGAAATAGCCAAATAAGCAGAATTATTCAAGGACTTGCAAGGAACTCAGAGGAAGAAGTTATGATTTCTTTAATAATAAAATATTTCAGTTTTATAATTCATAAATTCCATCAGTCTTTTCCCTTCGAACAGGTTCTGTGCTCTTTGATTATCCTTCTGAACTGCCTTTGAAAGCCTCCCTTCCTTTCTATCAGCTTTATAAAAAAACCCCTAAAAATAAGTAGTGAATGGAGAAACAATAATAATAAAAAGGATAATTTTACAATTAGGTTTTTACAATTGTATTACAGCACACATACTCATTTTATATACTGATTTGTGAAACTTTCAATGCAGAGATCAACACGAACGGCCTTCTGCTCTGCAGTTGCTGGACCATCCCTTTGTGAAAGGAAGACAGTGAATTTTTCAAAACTCTTGCCAAATGAGCATATATTTTCCATGGAAAAGACTTTCACTTGTGAAAAAAAGACCAGAAGGAACTGGACTTTAACGTGACAGCAGAAATACTGGAGAGCAGTTGTGTTCAAGGAGTCTGTTATTAGGCAGCAGTGATTAAAGAGTGCCTGTTCTGCAATGCCTGTCCTTCACTGTGAACACAAGGCCACGTTATGTTTTATCTGGACAGACTTAAAAGAAAAATAAAGTCACCGTCACTGGCATGTGACAGGCCAGGTAAGCTGGAAGGTAAAATCTGTAAAATCCTATGGAACACAAGCTATGGGCAGAGAGCTCTGCAGGTAACTCCAGCTTGGAGATGAGTAATGAGTGTGATGATCCCACTGGAATAAAACTGCATAAAATGTACTGAGGTTTTTATTCAGTCAGGTGGGCCCTTTTGTTTAACTGGATGGGCACTTCAAATTTTAGCTGGTGAGTAATTTTTTTACATACATAAATCAGCCTTGTGTTCGTGAGGCCCTGTGTCACAAGATACTGTGGTGATAATTGCAAGAGATAATGATCTAAACCATGGGACTTCCTGCCTTAAATGAAATAGTGCATTTTTGGGGCACTTTCAGGTCTCAGAAGGTTGAGGTTGGAAGGGACTCTGGAGATGCTCTGGTCCAGCCCCACAGCTCAGAGCAGGGCTGACTGAAGCAGGCTGCTCAGGCCCTTGTCCCATTGACTTTGGACTGTGGATGGAGACTCCACAGCCATTCCAGGCAACATGCTCTAGTCTTTAAGCTCCCACATGGTAGAAGTGATTTTATGTTTGAATTCTTATAGGTGAAGTTGTCCCATTGTCCGTTGTCCTGTAACTGCTAGCACTGCAGAGTCTGGCTCTGACTTCCTTGCTGTCCCCATGGGGTGCAGATACTCACTAAAAACCTGAAGTGTTTCTGTGACCACTTGAGTGAGCACTACCTGTGACTGGATGACATGGAACAGAGCTCCTCTGCACTCCAATGGTCTTTGCACTTAGTAAAACTAGCTACTACTAACTGCACAAAATCAAATAAAATCTAAAAAGCATTATTAAGTATTAATAAAGCTAAAAAAGCAGGTATTATTATTTAGAATGTCCTTTTGTTAAGGTTTCTTCCTATCAAAATGGGGTAAATCTTTAGCCTTTGTGAGCACCCAGGCTCCAGGAAGAAAGGCAGTAAAACTCAGCCCTACAACTGCTCAGAGCTGAGCTCTCAAGAAGCCAAGACCCTGATTTCAGTGCCAGCAGTAACATGAACATTTGTGTTTTACAAATGGGAAAGTTTGGTTGGTTATATAAAATCAACTTTCCTCAGCGTGCTAAACATCTTAAATAGCTTTCAAACTTTATTTTATTCCAGTAGCCTGACTTCAGAGTTAAGTCTAGACTTTATAAAAGCAAAGAGAAATCAGTACTTCTAGCAAAATTCTTTATTAATAGTTTCTGTAGGTATAATGTCACATAACAATGACAGAACATTATGCCAGTATAAGAGAAATCCTAACATCACAGTAATAATTTTCAAAGTTCAAGCAGTTAACAGTCCTTTTTTGAGGAATATTGGTTGGTGCTCATGCCAGACATCCATGGCAACATCATGTTAAAGTATCTTCACATTAAATTACCTTGCAGAGTAAAGGCAGGAGCCCGGGCATGCGAGCTCTAGTGGGATGTACATAATTCCATGATGTGTACTAATTCTTCTCAGATTAAGGTAGAGTCTTCAAAAAAGCTGCAAAGTAAACATGAGGGTTTATTTAGCATGAAATGAAACTGAGATGAGAGTCATAAGCAAGGAAAGAATGGGAATGCTCTAGAATATAGAACTAATTTAAAAAAGGTCAGCATTACAAACCCCCCTTCTTATGCATACCTTATAAGCAAAATTAACATCTCTTGTTAGAGTTCTCCAATATTATGGTTACCAGTTATTTGCAATTTGTCGTGTTTAATCCAGTTAATTACACTGAAAATAGTCATTAGAGGTTTGTAAAACTTGAACCTGAGTTTTTAATCAAAATGTGAAAGCACATTTTTGCTTTTGTTTAACCAGACTTCAAGAATGAGGTGGCAGTTTAAGGCCAGCACTTGCAACAAAGGTATTTCAGTTTAATCAGAGCTGTGCTTGCAGTAGAGCTCAGGGCCCAGCTAAACCAAGCCCTGTGTTAGTCTGGGGAGCCTTGGGGCACTTGGCTGAGCTGCTCTGGTGGAGTAATCTACAAACAAGTGTAAATTTGCATATTTCTTACTTGAAGAGATCAGAGATTTTCATACCAAAATCCAGGTACCTAATTACAGATGTCCAATGTAACAAGGGGAAAGGGTGTGAAATCCTGAAAATTGTTTTTTTTTCATGAGACCGAGTGACTCAGTGATCAGGTTCACACTTTGCTTCATTACTTATAGTGTTGGAGCAGGGCAAGCCTTGCTGCTTTAAAGACTACAGCCTTCCTTTCTGAAACCTGTAAGGACCCATTACAGTGCATGCAGCCTGCCGAGCACTTGCTGTGACTGCAGGTTCCCTCGAGATTGAACTTCAATTTCAGCAGCTGAAGATCCAGCCCTGCCCTGGTATGACTGCAGGGGTACCCAGTGTTCCTCTCACACGGGAACAGAGCCAAGGCTCCCGTCTCAGAAGGGAGGGGCCACAGGCAGCCCAACCCAGCTATGTTACACTGCTCTTGGAACTACTACCAGCAGTAGCATGTAAAAATTTGCATCTAAAAATACACACCTCTACCTCTCTTTCCAAGAAGGCAGAGCCTGGTCCCTGAAAACACAAGAGTCTCTTGAGATTATCTAGGTTCAAATTTAGTGCTATTCCACAAAGCTCAGTGGGAACTGATGCCATTTCTACACCAGTCCTATCAAACCTCTGGTTCTTGCACACAGCCAACCAGACTTCGCCCAAGGAGGGTCCTCAGGACACACTCCAGTGCCTTTTCTCTCCTTTTTCCCTTCCCACAGGGACCTGCACCACGGCACAGCTCAGAAATTCTAGAGGTGTTGTCAAAGAACACAATGTCTGAACTATGGCAACACCAACGTTGCTGTTACAAGTGCAAGAATACAGGGGAATCAAATCCAAGCACTGAGTTTCAATGTTATAAATTTAGTTTGGATTTGTTATATCCATGTCAGAAGCCAGAGAAACAATCATTCCCAGTAGCAATGGGAGAGAAGACTCCTGGCACTCATTTATCTCTTTCAGGTGTAAGGAGTTAAGCCTTTCAGAGAAAGGAGGAATTAACTAGCTAGTTCAGTCTGGCATAACTTACAAGGCTCAAGAAATTAATTTTTAGAACCGATTATGCTTATGTGCATTTACATCAAAATAAAGAAAGCAAAAAAAGTATTTGTCCAATCACCTTCCCTGCAAAACAAGGATTGGGAACCCTACCCCACAAGGTCTTAGGAAGAAGGCATGGTGCAGCATTGTCACCCCTCTCCTCATTGCTGAAATGAGAAATAATAATGAAAAACCCCTCCACCACCACATCTGGCCAGGCACTACACACTGTTACTACTGTGCACAGGCTCTGCCCCCAAGGTAGAGAGAAGGAACAGCTTAAAATGGTACAAAATGTCTGCAATCTGCTTTTCAGGTACCAAATACCTGATCAATATAATGGAAATGAAGGAAAAACAACTAAGACTTCAGACTTTCCAGCATTCCATTATTTGAGTGATTTGATGACAACTAGCAATGTTTTGCCAAGAACTGAAAGGGGATCTTAGTGTATACTAATGAGGCTGGGAAAATTAAACATAGGAAAATGGGATCATTTCTGCACAATAGAGGTGAGGTAGGGAATTTTATTGAAAATACTTTTTTTTACAAGTTCTTAGAAATAAACTTTTTTCTAATCTCACACAAACAGCTGTACCTCAAAAATTCAACTAAGCTATTATGAAACATTTATATTTACAGTTAGCCAAAAGAATATACAGAACTGCCATGTTATGCAAATAGCCAAGTACCAGCTCACAGTGAGATACATCACCCCAGCATTCCCATCATCAGGAAGATTCAACATATGAAAGAATCTCACTACTCTACAAACCTCATCTCACAAAAAGGAAAGCTTTTTAATAGTGTTGTAGCAAGGTCTCCACTACAGCATCATTTTACAAATTACATAATTCATGTACTCAAATTTATAACAAAAAATCTGTAGTAAGTGATGAACAAAGTAATAGTGTTGACTATGAGCCTTTTATTGCATTTATTCAGTCATTCCCGTGAGGCTGATGCGAATCCCAATAGTTTTCATTCATTTCAACACCTCAGCCAGGCTGCAATTCACACCATTCACTAATTTACAGTGGGTTTCAGTCAGCAAAAACCAGTGGCACCTGATTGCATCCCCTCTCCCTCCCTCTCCATCCTAGGATCACCACGTGGAATTCAGTTTCAGACACAAACACATAGACGGTTTTACCTATTTACAATTACATTGAAACCCAAACCCCATGAGTTTATGGACATCCTTTACAGAGAAACCAAAACCCACTGTTTGGATCTCAATGTAACATAGGAACATTTTGTCCACCATATTTCACAATTTCCCAGAATCAAAACAGGTAATAGTTTTTTTGTAACAGCACCATAGGAGGAAGGCCTATGCTCTTTTCCAAGGTATATAAGACAGGCACTAGTTACCATCCAGACATTTTAACTCCAGGTTGTGACAGCAACTGCTATATTTACAGTACAATATATTGCTTATCCAGAGTGGCTGTATAAGATGCATTTCCTGGCACAATTATTTTAACAGACACAAAAAGAAAGTACTGTAGTGCTTCAAAGACAAAGACAGTTTCCTGCTATTTCACGAGTCTGCCTAGGCTCTAGTTTAGGACAGTATATAATGCCGATTACATTGGTTACAAATCAGACCCAAGAGTAGCACTGAGATGGAAAGGAAACAGACTATAAAAGGATAGAAAATATTCAACAATGCAGAAGTTTG